CGTCCTTTCATTCACGGTCTCCCGCCGTTTGCTCAGCAGCCGTGGCACTTCGTTTCTTCCCGGAGCTGTGCGGGTTCGGGGACTCTAGGCGGGCTTGTCCCTGAAAGTAACGTCTCAGAGCTCCGTTTGCTCCATCCTGGAGTGGGATAGCTCACCTTTCTCCTCAGCCTCACATTCAGCTCTTCAGAGGCTCAAACGAAGATGCTTCCCAGCGAGGACCGTGGGCACTCTATGGAGCATAGCAAGATGACAGAAGAGGACACGGCGGTGCCTCAGATGTCTCATCTAGGGTTTTTGTTATGAGCCATCAAGTTGCTTCTGACTTATGGACTCTGTAACGGGGTTTTTGAGGTATTTGGGAAGTTCATACAGTGGTTGCCATCCTTCAGTAAATCTTCAATAGGGAAACTGAACCTCGGCCCCCTGAATCCTATTCTATCACTCACTTCATCCACCACACCACACTGGCTCTGTATTTATATTTATATGTAAATATTGTATTTATATGTAAACTTAGAAATCATTTGCATAATATAAACAGAATCGCAAAGCAATTAAGTGACCTACCTGCCTACTGCAGAATTTGTTGTTCAGTTGGGTCACTTCAAGGTCCCGCATCTCCCTCTATGACTTTTATTTATTTTTAAATCAGACTTGGACTGAACTGCCTTCCAAATGGAAGGTACCGTCAAAAGAGGGTTTTGCTTTGAGTGGAGGACTGCTCCCCCTAAAAGAAGACAGGTGGTCACCCTAATATTGGAGCACCCATCCCCCACCTCCAATTGAGAGGGATTAAAAAGGTGGTGGTGGGATTGAGTAAAGGATGGAGAAGCAAACCACGGTATTCCAAGCAAGTACAGAATGTAGGCAGGGTTTCATTCAGATCCTGGCCCATCCCCTACCTGTTTTTGCAGACTTATCTTATTGCTTTTTAATTCATTATTGAATCAACCACCCTTTCCTATGCAAAATCAGTGTCCTTTTTTGGCCTAGCACTTTCTCTGCTAGATCCTAAGGGAAGCACATCCAATTTAAGGTACAAGCCTTTGCATATTGACTAGAAAACCACATGCCTCTGGAATCAATGAACTTTGCCTCTGAGTCATTTTAAATGTAGCAGTTGCACCAGGGACAGCTTGTTACCAGGCAAATGGCAACCTTCTAGATCTTGAGGCGATCTAGATCTCTCCCTCCTCAGTTTGTTAACAGTTCTGCATCCATTAAAAAAGCGTACTTCATAGGCTTAACAACAGTTCCAACATCCCCATCTTTCAAGGTTTCTTCACCCCAAAAAAGGGGGGTTACCTCCAGGTTCATTATGGGAGTACTCAGCACCACACATGTTGTCCTGCAACAGGGATGTCTCATGACGGAGCTCTCCAGCCTGGGTATGGGCTGGCCCCATAAGGGATCTCGCAGTCCTCCGAGGGTAGGATAATCGAACCCACTTCCTGACTCCATCCCTTCTTGCGCTCACCTGCTCCTAACTTCTTTAACTCCTTGGGTAAAGGCAGCAATCCATCGTCCTTCATGGGGTTTGGAAAACTCTTCACTAGTTTTGCTATCCTTTCCCTTTCAGCTCCAGTCTCCTCTGAACCTCTCTGTCTATTCCCAATATTCCTCCCCTTTCTCTCCCCCTCTCCTCCTTTATATCCTCGTCCCATCTCCACTTGCCTGACTCCTCCTCCCAGTCCCTAGCTCTCTCTGCTAAGAACACTTCTACTGCCTTGTTAGTTCCACCTTCGTCCTCGTCAAGTTTTATCAGTTCCCCCACGGCACAACCTTCATTTTCTTCCTTCGGTTCCTCACGTGAGGATGGCTCACTCTTGTTCCTCCACTCACACTCTGGAATCAATGAACTTTGCCTCTGAGTCATTTTAAATGTAGCAGTTGCACCAGGGATGGCTTGTTACCAGGCAAATGGCAACCTTCTAGATCTTGAGGCGATCTAGATCTCTCCCTCCTCAGTTTGTAAGCCACAGGTGGAAACTTCATCCGGACGTGAGAGAGCCAGGGACTTGTTAAGAGGATAAACATAGTGGAAGGATACTGTAAAGGTTACTTTGAGATCCATGGGAAAATGATGGGAAAAGAAGCTGACGTAAAACACTCCAGTTATTTTAGGCCACTTTCTCTAAACCATATCTACCTAATAGGACTATTGTGGTGAGAAGGAGAGCCATATATGTCATCTGGAACTCATTGGAGAATAACTATAAGCATATATAACTATAAGCATATTTGGGATCACACTGTTTCCCATTACAGCTTTATCTGTTTTAACTAATCTCGCTGTTCACATGCCAAAGCATTCAAATGTTACTGTCACGTACCCCCAGTGAGCCCTTTGTGTTTTGCCTCTCAGACAAGTTCACCTTTGGACACGACTTGTACTTTTCCACTTTTTCGCTGCCACCGGAGGATATTATCCTCACTATATCAATTAATCTCAGACTCTTGCTGTCAAATAAAACAAGGTTTATTTAAGGATAAATAAGTGAATCACAGAAGGAAAATCATGGATGTTCTATTATCGTTCATTCAATAAACTTGGATTTGTTTACAGTTGTGCCCCACTTAACGATTACCCCGCATTGCGACGAATCCACTTCATGACAACATTTTTGTGATCACTTTTGCGATTTTCGCTGATCGTCGGGTTTTCAAAATGGCCACCGGGTGCTTAAAATGGCTCCCCGCTGTGCTTAGGGACAGATTTCTTGCTATACAGGCACCGAAAATGCCCACCGTATGGAGGATCTTTGCTGGACGGTGAGTTTTTAGCCCATTGGAACTCACAGAACAGTTTTCATTGCGTTTCAATGGGTTTTTTATTTTCGCTTTATGACATTTTCATTCTACAGTGATTTCGCTGGAACGCATTAACGTCGTTAAGCGAGGCACCACTGTACATGTACTATTGCTTGTATTCATTTGCTTTAATCGAGATCTCAATATATTATGCCAGGTTTTGTACTTCTAGTTCCTTTTAACTCTAATATTCTCTAACACATCAACTGTCCATTATCCTGTCTAAACACTTTACAGTCTTCTCTCTATCTAAATGCTTCACCATCTTTTCCCTAACTCTCTCTCTGTCACACTCTAGCTGCCTCTCTGGCACTCCCGGTTTTCTTGACTCCACCTCTCCTGTCCTGTCATAGGCTCCTGCACTGGAGCTCTAAAATGACTGACAGGAGTGACGTGTGGGCTGTCCGCCAGAGTTACAAACATTAATCTTTTCCCTTTTTACAAATATAGGACATTTTCCTTTGAATCCCAAACTCATGCCTACCTTGAATCCCAAACTCATGCACAATAAATCTGTTACCTTGATCAATTTTACTCATTTACTCGACTTTAAAGAATCGTGTTACTGATTTTGTGTATCTGATATGTGTACATAGATACCAACATCACTCAAATGAAGTTTGTTCTCAGTAATTAATTTTTCTTCTGAAATTACTCTGCGGTAGATAGGACGCTCTGGAATTATTCTCTTATGTTTAACATTTTTAATATGGCATTCATAGCCTTTCTTTTCACATCTATATATGCATTTCAAGTATCTCATTTCTGAAATGTACCATACCCATGGTACTAGAAAGCAGAACGTTGCTGAAGTTCATTGGCTATGAAAAAAATAATAATTCCATGTTGACATCATCCATGGTATCTGAACAAAGTATGATGATAGTCTGGGATGAAGAGCATCATATTACCACATATCAGTTATTGCAGCTGGCTTCATCATTATTCTTTCTGCTTGTCATAAACTCTTTTTAAAAAAACCCTTCTAAAAATGTGGAAATTCTCAATAATTCATGCAAGGTGAAGAACAGAAATAAGAAATATTGCATCTTTCCATCAGCTCTTTTCTTCTGCCTAGCTGTAGCGCATCCAAACTGTGCATACCTCTACAAGATTGTGGCTGACAAGAGTCCAAATGGAGAAGGAATATGATGTATACTCAAAATATTTCTCATACTCAGTGATTTTCCGTTTCTTAATGTGCCAAAATTCTCCATCAAGTTTTCAGGCTTTTCCATGAAAATAAGGTCTCACTCCACCCCCACCCCTGTTGTTTTAAACACGGAGCTGCTTAATGCTTTCCAACTTAATGCTCTTTACAATAAATCCAATGCAAGGAAGATGCCGTTCTTCACAGGAATGGTAACAAACCAGCACAAGTGGGTATGTGTTCTGCCTTTTTGGGTGTTTGGGT